TAGTTTTTCTGTGGGGAGGGAAATTGGTGGCTTCAAGACAAGAGGGAAGAAAACTTTCCAAAATCTTTTGATTTTGGACCACATGAACATACTGTGGTCCAAAAATATAATATTTTATATTTCATATTGAAATATAAAATAAATACAAATTATAGGATATTGCTATGAATTGTTAATGGAACAAATTTGAAAATAAATTTAAAATAGGCAATTCTCTAGGTAAATATAAATTATCAAACATTCCAAAAAGAAAAGGAAATTCAATCAGTAGTCACATATCTACCTTTTTGTAAAAGTAGCATATCTGGACTCTCTTACAAGACAGTTATGGTTCCTAACCAGCCAATATCAACTATTCCACAGATTGGAAAGAAAGACAAAGCCCTATCCCTTAACTCATTTTATGATGTTAATGTAACCTTTATACTAAAACAAAGAGAACAGAAAATTATAAGCCAGGCTTCCTTTTGAACATAACATGCTTTGAACATAATATGCTGAATAAAATATCAGGAAACCCAAACCAGAATATGTATTTTAAATGCTTCATGACAAATATGGTTTAATCCAGGTGTATTTTTAAAATAAAAATTAGAAAATATATAAATTACAAAAACATTTTTAAGATACATAGGAAGAATATGTATATTTTAAATATCCCATGCATTATACACACATACACACACATTTCCGATAAAGACCCAGGTGTGAAAAGCAAATCCTTAATACATTTAAAAGAAAATAGAGAATCCATTTATGACTTCAGTTGGAAGAAAAACTTTTTACACTAAGAAAAAAAAAAAAAAAGCACAGATAATAAAGGAAAATTTGAGAAATGTGACCACATAAACCTTTTTAAATTCTATGCAAGAAAGGAAAACATGTAAAGTTTTCTTAAAAGCCAGAAGCCAGAAGAGTATATTTATAATGCATAACTGACAAAAAGGATTGGTATTCTGGATATACTTTTTATCATTCTTTTTAATTGATTTTTTTGAGACGGAGTCTCATTCTGTCACCCAGGCTGGAATGCAGTGGCATGATCTCGGCTCACTGCAATCTCCACCTCCCAGGTTCAAGCGATTCTCCAGCCTCAACCTCCTGGGTAGCTGGGATTACAGGCATGCACCACCACACCCGGCTAATTTTTATATTTTCAGTAGAGATGGGGTTTCACCATGTTAGCCAGGCTGGTCTCAACCTCCTGATCTCAAATGATCCACCTGCTTCGGCCTCCCAAAGTGCTGGGATTACAGGCTTAAGTCACCACACCCAGCTATATTTTTTAAATATAGACTTATAGGTTAAAAAGGCAAGCACTACAGGAAAAATGAACAAAAAATATTAACAGGCATGTCACAGAAGAGTAAGCTCAATCAGCCTACAGACACTTCAAAAGTAACTCAACTACACTGGTAATCAAGAAAATGTTTGAAAAGGTATAAAATTTCTCACCCAACGAATTGAAAAAAAAAAGTGTGAAACTACTTGCCACCTGCTGGCAAGAATGTTGGGAACCAGTTTATCTCATTCACCACAAGAGCCTAAATTAGTGTAACCATTTTGCATCATGTTTTGAAAATATCTAATAATGTTAAACCTGCACATACCCTGTGACCACATAATTCCATTTCACCCTTGTGTACAACTTGACATTTATAAGAAAATTCATTGCAGAACTGTTTGTAACAGTAACAAATTAGGAACATTTTGAATGTTTATCCATACTGAATACAATTTTATATAGTCATATCATGAAATACACTAATATACAGTTAAAGGAATGTGTTTGATCTACAGTATAGGTACCCATATCAATAAACTTTGAAAACATGTTTAACTAAAAAATCAACATACATATGATCTCCTTCTGTCAAATGGTAAAATACATAAAATAATGTTATAGGTTGTTTATGTGCATGCATACATGATCAAAATATAAACACATGGACAAAACGGGAACATACCTTGCTGTTGTGACTGAGTCTGGGGAATGACAGAGGACCAAAAAGATGAAGCGGTGGGCTTCCTGTAGCTGTAATTGGTTTTTTTAATGTCATGGCCAAATTTTAATATTTCACATATCTGGATTGTGGGCCTGTGCGTATAATTCACTCTTCAAGTCTCTGTAGAGATCTGACCTTGTCTGGCTTCTTTTCAGATGCAGAAGCTCTTATCCTGAATCTGCACAGCCCAGTGATTTCAGCCATATTACCTGTGCCCAGTGTGCTGACTGTGGACCTCCTCTGGGACCTTCCTTCTCTGGTTCTGTCCACCTGTCATAACATTTTATTTCTCCATGTTGGACCTATTAGTTTCACCTCACAAAAGGCCATTTGCCATGACCATACCAGGAAGATAGAATATTTGCTGCCCCACTCAATTTCCTCCAAGCAAGTGAGGCCTGTCCAGTCTCCATCTGCGCGGTCACCTGAGGATGGGCCTGTGTCCCTCATTCTCTGCCTAGCCTCTGCTATGAAGTGGGTCTTCATTGTGTCCTGTGCCATTACTGGCATTGAGTTTTGAGTTACAGAACTGATCCTTTCTCATTCGTATTTCTAGATTTCCTCAACATCCCACAGCAGAGCATAATGACACAAATACCTCTTACCTAGTTTCTAGTTCTGACTCTACGTTTACCCACAGTTAATGTTTATCTACAGCTGGAAATTTAAACTATGAGCAGTTCTGATCTGAGTTTGGTATTTTGGCTATTCAACTCTTTCTTTTGCTTCCAAAGAACAAAGAAGGTGGGGCAGCATGTGTTTTTCTTTGTGTTTTTAATGAGTATAACCTAAGTTCCTGATGATCGAGTTTATACTTGGTGCAAAGGTTATAATGAGCAACACGAATACAGACTCCAGGCTAGGAATGGTGGCTCACACCTGTAATCTCAGCACTTTGGGAGGCAGAGCCAGCCTGATCACTTAAGCTCAGCAGTTCAAGACCAGCTGGGCAACAAGGTAAAACCCCATCTCTATTAAAAATACAAAGAAACTACCCAGGCATGGTGGTATGCCTGTAGTCCCAGCTACTCAGGAGGCTGAGGTGGGAAGATAGCTTTGAGCCCAGGAGGTCAAGACTTCAGTCAGCTGTGATCGAGCCACTGCACTCCAGCCTGGGTGACAGAGCGATTCCATGTCTCAAAAAAAAATTATAGGCTGGGCGCGGTGGCTCACGCCTACAATCCCAGCACTTTGGGAGGCTGAGGTGGGTGGATCATGAGGTCAAGAGATCGAGGCCATCCTGGTCAACATGGTGAAATCCCGTCTCTACTGAAAATACAAAAATTAGCTGGACATGGTGGTGCACACCTGTAGACCCAGCTACCTGGTAGGCTGAGACAGGAAAATTGCTTGAACCCAGGAGGTGGGGGTTGCGGTGAGCCGAGATCGTACCATTGCACTCTAGCCTGGGTAGCAAGGGTGAAACTCCGTCTCAAAAAAATAATAATAGTAATACACACACATACACACACACACACACACACACACACGTACATGTAGAGAGAGAGAGAGAGATTATATATATATACACACACACACTAGAGAGAGAGACTCCATTGGCAGAATGTACCTTGGAGTCTCCCTATGTTGGAGTTGAAATCCTTTCAGGAGAAACATATTTCTGAAATTATAATGAAAGTTGATGGAAATGATCTGATACAAATATATCTGATTTACAACTTCACATAAAATATATAGTTGGGATGTAATAATATTTTAGAACTAATATAGTTTTTTAGCTGGTTAAAGTCTTTATAAGTACTTCTCAGAAATTTTGAAAATGTCCACAAATACATTGAATTACCTCTTGTCTCAACAGACGTTCTGCCTGATTTCTGGTAATGTTTCTATGGTACCACCTGTAAAAGCAATAAAAATGATATTTAAATTTTATATTCAATTTTTTAGAAAAAAATGCTTCATTTTCTTCATTTTTAAGAACTTACTTCAGAACTGATCTTAGAAAGCTGATTTATTTCAAAAAAAATTCAGATAAACAATAATATACTATTATGAGTTAAGTTTAATATAATTTTATTTTCAAGCCAATATCTATCTAGTTCATTCTATCATATCTCAATTCAACTTCCTGACATACACTTAGTATATCCTTATGAATGATTTAACTTCTTATAAATTTCCATGAAAGGTATGTGGTAAAGACCTCGTCATCTTGAACAAACACTGTTTGAGTTTTGGCAGACAAACGAAAACAATACTTATTTCTGTCTTTCCTCTCAGAAACTTCCTATTTACATGTTTTTATAGGTGATTTGTTATCCTTTCCAAAATTTAAAGCCTATTCTTACTTTTCTGACACTCCTAAGTACATGATGTCATAGTATAGTCAGTGGTTAGTAGATGTTCTCACTTGTAAGTGGGAACTAAACAGGGGGAACACATAGCCACAGAGATGGAAAGAATGGACACTGGGGGCTCCCAAAGCAGGGAGGATGAAACAGGGGTGAGAGTTGAAAAATGACTTATACAATAAAATGTTCACTATTTAGGTGATGGGTACACTAGAAACCCAATATCCACCATTACAAAATATACTGTTGTAAAAAAACATGAACATGTACCCCCTGGATCTAAAATAAAATTTTTTAAAAATCAAAAAATAGGATACATGGAACAACCAATACACAAACTTGCTCTAGCACTCTCTCCTGCCCCATCTCTCTCCTGAGTCTCCCCTCACTCACTAAGCTTGTCTCATTGGAATTCTTTTCTTCTTCAGATTCACCAACCCCCTTTCTGCCCCCAATCATGCTGTTTTCTCTGCATGAAACATATCATTAAATGACTTTAGAATATCCGAAGCACATGTAGTAAACATAGTTAACCAATATTAACTAATAAGCTAAACATACAGTTTGATATGATAATACCTAGTCCGTAAGCAAGTGTTGTACAGGAAGGAGAAAGAATAATGGTAGAACAAAAGAGAGAGAAAGGAACCCTAAAAGTTTTTCTTTTCAAAACAAGACTTAAAAAAAAAATTAACACTTCACGAATTTGTGTATCATCCTTGAGCAGGGAACATGCTAATCTCTGTATTGTTCTAATTTTTAGTATATGTGCTGCTAAAGCAAGCACTCAAAACAAGATTTTTAAAAAGATGCTAAATTTAATCTAATATTTTCAGATAGATGTATGTGACAAATTCAAGATCCTTTAAAATAATTCAGAATTCTATCAGGCAGGAAAGAGACTGAACAAATAGAACTTAGAGGAGGCAAGAGCACAGTATTTCAGAATTTCATCTATTTAAATCAGAGGATAAAAGTTAGAAGGCTTTTTAAAAATATATGTATGAGTAAAACTGTAATTCTTACACCTAGACAACACTAATTATAACTAAGACCAAATGATGTGCACGAAGGAGTTAGGGACAGGTATCCTATTGATATTTTTTTTCTAAATCCAGCATGTCCAGCGATGGGTGAGTAGAAACATCCTGTATGTTGTATGAATACCTCCAGTCCCATGTCCCAATCTCAGGTTTCTGATCAATAAGTAAACAATATTGTGTTCCTGAATTTTTGATCTAGAAACCCCATTAGATCTGAGAAGGTTAATCTTCTTCCCTTAGTAAGTGACTTTCTAATTGTGAGCGGATTAACGATTCTATGTAGAGATACTGAGATAAATGAAACTCATACTTCTGTACAGTTCAGGAACAATCAATATGTTTGGTATTTAAAATATCTATTATTTTAAGATAATCTGGCATATTAGATTTTTGTCTCTGTTTTTAAAGGGCATAATTAATTTTAAACTTGTTATTTGAAGTTGAAGAGAATTTGACTTGTTTTTAAAATGGTATTTGTATGGTTACAAGAACTTGATTTCCACATTTATAAGGTTAGCTTATTAGATTTCCAGGATCATTTAAAGACTTATATAGGGCTTATTATAATTGCAAATTTGCCCTGTCAGGCATGTGTTGAAAGAAAACTGAATTTATTCAGTTATTAATGCAAATTAAGTTTTCAAAAATTTAATTAACTGAGCTCATAAATAGGACTGATTGTTCAATGATATTTAGTATCTTGAGTTTGAATTAAGGTGATTGTTCTTATTTCTTTAGATTTATGTATAGTATATCAAATTTTATAAGTTGAATTTGAGGACTTTCTGAAAACTAGGTTTCTACATTGTAACGTTGATCATTTGGGTATTCATTTAAAGCCAAAGTAGCCATAAATCTTTCTATGCCTAAAGATTCCCCTGAAATATCAGAACTCCACATTGACACAGCATTCCTTCCACTATACCCCACCCTCCTCCCAACACACACTCCCTCTACCACCTTTAGACCTCAAGTCACTTCCTCAGAAAGCTCTTCCCCAACATCCCTCATCTAAACTATATCTCCTGCCCTGTTTTCTCCCACAGTGTCCAATACTGTTCCTTCAAAATACTACAATTTTTTATTTTTTTTTCTCAACTTTTATTTTAAGTTCCAGGGTACATGTGCAGGATGTGCAGGTTTGTTAGGTAGGTAGATGTGTGCCATAGTGGTTTCCTGCACAGACCGTCCCATTGCCTAGGTATTAAGCCCAGCGTCCATTAGCTATTCTTACTGATGCTCTCTCTCCCCTTGCCACCCCCGCCTCACCCCCCGCCCCAGGCTCCAGTGTATCATAACACTACAATTTAAAATTGTACATTTATTTGTGGACTTAGAGTTGTTTAATGTCAGTTTTTCCCCAAGCAACTATAAGTTCCATCTGCATATTTCATGTTGTAATATCTGGAACATCAGAAGTGTACAATAAATACAGATGGAACAAATAAGGTGATTTGAGGACTGAAGTAACAAAGGAATGTTGAACACCTGTAATACTAGGCAGGGTGAATTAAACTGTAAATGTTTTTCCAGGTAGTTTTATGGTTTATGAAATAATAATAATCACTAGAATGTATTAATGGTTTATTATTAATAGATACTATAGGTATTATTGTCTCTGCTTTTCAGATCAGTCAAAGGTTTAGAGACATTAGGTAACTCCACCAAGAACCAAAGCACTAGTCAGTCCTGATGCCAGGATTTGGACCCAGGTTGCTCCCATTTCTGTACTCATGCTCTAATACTTCAACCTAGGGCAGTAACTTTTGTACAATCATTAGAACAGTGCTTGGTACATAGTAAGTGATCAATAAATTTCAGTGATCAATAATGATAACTATTTTATCTACATTTTGATAAACCTGTTTTTAGAAACAGCAATAAAATGAAAAATGAGTTTTCTCATAATTAAAGACATTTAAAAAAGGATGATTTTTTAAAAAAACATAGGTAAATCAAGGCCCAAGAAAATGAGGTAGCAGTTGTAACCCCAGAGTAGTTTAATTGAGATGATCCAACATCCACAGTGTAAACAAGTTGTTATGGCCAGAGTCTAGGCCTTGTCTAGACAGGGGAATCAATGAGTAAATGAAGAATAAAAGGGAAGAAAGTAACATTCCTGGGCAGTGAGTGTCCATTCGCTAACCACCCAGCACTGTGTTAGCTACCTTCACAAATGTCTCCTTTAATTGCCTGGAAAATTCAAATGATATGAAAAAAAGTTTTATTTTTCTAAGCAAGAGATCTTCATATAATATTTGTAAATACATACAAAATCTCCTCTGACCTGGCCTTGCAAGAGGCCTGTTTTTCTTGGTCAGCTTCAGCTCGGGGTAGTGGTGAGACCCCAAGTGGACATGTTCTTGAGTAGATAGCTGCAGAACCATTGTGTTTTTTTTTTTCTTTTTTTTAAATAGAGATAGGGTCTCACTGTGTTGCCTAGGATGGCCTTGAACTCCTGAGCTTATGCAATTCTCCCACCTCAGCCTCCCAAAGTGCCAGGATTACAGGTGTAAGCCACCATGCCTGGCCTCTTTCTTTTTTAATTTTTAAAAATTTTCATGCTACAAAACCATTCAGGACATAGGCATGGGCAAAGGCTTCATGACTAAAACGCCAAAAGCAATGGCAACAAAAGCCAAAATAGACAAATGGGATCTAATTAAACTAAAGAGCTTCTGCACAGCAAAATAAACTATCATCAGAGTGAAGAAGCAATGTACAGAATGGGAGAAAATTTTTGCAATCTATCTGACAAAGGTCTAATATCCAGAATGGACAAAGAACTTAAACAAATCTACAAAAAAAAGACAACCCCACCAAAAAGTGGGCAAAGGATATCAACAGACACTTCTCAAAAGAAGACATTTATGCAGCCAACAAACATGAAAAGGTGCTCATCATCACTGGTCACTAGAGAAATGCAAATCAAAACCACAATGAGATACCATCTCATGCAAGTTAGAATGGCAATCATTAAAAAGTCAGGAAACAACAGATGCTGAAGAGGATGTGGAGAAATAGGAACGCTTTTACACTGTTGGTGGGAGTGTAAATTAGTTCAATTATTGTGGAAGACAGTGTGAAGATTCCTCAAGGATCTAGAACTAGAAATACCATTTGAGCCATCAATGCCATTACTGGGTATATACCCAAAGGATTATAAATCATTCTACTCTAAAGATACATGCACATGAATGTTTATTATGGCACTGTTCACAATAGCAAAGACTTGGAATCAACCCAAATGCCCATCAATGATAGACAGGATAAAGAAAATGTGGCACATATACACTATGGAATACTATGCAAACATAAAAAAAGAATGCGTTCATGTCCTTTGCAGGGACATGGATGAAGCTAGAAACCATCATTCTCAGCCAACTAACACAAGAACAGAAAACCAAACACTGCATATTCTCACTCATAAGTGGGAGTTGAATAATGAGAACACATGGACACAGGGAGGGGAACATCACATACCACGGCCTGTTGGGGGTTGGGGGCTATGGGAAGGATAGCATCAAGAGAAATACCTAATGTAGATGATGGGTTCGTGGATGCAGGAAACCACCATGGTACGTGTATACCTATGTAACAAACCTGCACTTCTGCCTATGTACCCCAGAACTTAAAATATATTAAAAATTTCAAAAAAAAAATAAAAACAATAAAAATTAAAATTAAAAAATTGTCATGCTAATCTTCTCTGTATCATTCCAATTTTAGTATATGTTCCACCACAGTGAGCACTTTGGAACTCTTTTATAAGGAAGGTGGGTTCAGTCACCTGAGGACTTTGTTTTACTGGAGATTAGAATCTTGGGAAGAGCTAAATGGCTCCAACAGAGACATGAGGCTGAGTGAAGGTGGGAAAAGAGAGAAGAGGTCCTATGATGGAGATGAGGTGAGTGACTGGAGAGAGAACAGAAATAGCTAATTGAGAAATCTAATAGAGTGATATAGATTTGTCATGTGTCCTGAAGTCATCTCCTTCTCTCCTCCAATAAAGTCTACATTATTCACCAAAGCTTTTGAAATTGGATTTGTTTTAGCAGAGATGTACTGAGTTAGATCTCCAGGTGGGCTCTATTAGTAGCAAGACCAACCAAGGAGTTTCTCTCATTCAACTGTATTTACTGCCTGGTTCTCAGAAAAGCACTTGTCTTAATCCTCAATGCATATTACCTACTGCCACCTGGTGGAAGCATATGCTAATTGCAAGATAAGTGCCCAAGCGGGATGGAGGTGGGGGGAGATCCTCAAACCAAAAATCTAAATTTATTTAAAAATATGACTAGTCTCATTTCTGCTGCTCTCTACCTGTAAAGTCTTCTGTCAATCTTCTTATCTGCAAAATGAGGGGCTAAAAAAGTGATTGCTAGGATTTCCTCCATCTTCCAAATCTATAACTGTAACAAAAATAGATTTCAAGCAGAGCTCTAGTGAATATGCCAAAGGGTTCTTCCAAACTACAGCATTTAGCCTAGTTCATATCTTCAGCTATTTCTAAAACATATAAAAACATGAGCCAAAATGTAATTCATCTATACAGTTAAGTCCAATTTACCACTCACTGCAAATTTAATGTCGTTTTTTAAACTAAACTTTATAGTAGAATATACAGTAAAACAAGTGCCAGATGAGTGTTTGGTTTCAGTCTGTCACTGCTAAAACAGAAAAAGTGGCTATACAAAACAGAACAAAAATAAGTTTAAGAAAAAGAAGTTTCTGAATCAACCAT